CAATAATACCTTACATCGACGAATAATATAAATGGAGGGAGAGTTAGTTGGGCAAGGCTCAACCAACATTCAGACCACATTATTAAAGCCGCGCAAAGCATCCATAGTACGCTACATAAGGTTTTCCAATCATGGGGGGTCAAAAATGGTGTTGCAGCACCCTCAAAGTTTCATGGAACTTGAATTCCATCAAAGCAGACGAAGCCTTAAAATGTGTATGACAATTTGTGAGATTGTGTAATTCTCCTTGAGCTGGAGATGAACCATTAACCAAAATATATAGGTGATTACAACCTAGGGTTACAATAATTACACAAAATAAATATGAGAACCTTTACACATTCTCTAGGAAGAGAACCTTTACATATTCTCTAACACACCCCCGCAGTCGTAGCGGGAGGTGGACGAACGCTTAGACTGTGTCTAAACTCAAAAAACAATTGTCGTGGAAGGCCCTTGGTGAAAATATTCGCGTATTGGTAAGATGAGGGAACATGGTGGACACGAACCTGACCCAAAGCAACCTTTTCCCGAACAAAATGTATATCCATCTCTATATGTTTTTTTCGTTGGTGTTGAACCGGATTACTAGAAAGATAGACGGCGGATACATTATCACAATAGACCAAGGTAGCCTTGCGAAGGGGACAATGTAGCTCAAGAAGAAGATTTCGGAGCCAACACGATTCGGCAACCACATTAGCAACGCCCCTATACTCAGCTTCTGCACTTGAACGGGACAATGTGGCTTGTCGTTTGGCTGACCAAGAAATGAGGTTATCACCCAAGTACACGCAATACCCCGAGGTGGAGCGTCGCGTATCAGGACAGCCGCCCCAATCGGCGTCCGTGTACGCAACCAGTTGCGTTGGAGCAGAGCAATATAGGTGCAAGCCGAGGGTGAGAGTACCCTTGACATATCCGATTATTCGCTTGAGGGCATTAAAATGTGGCTCCCTCGGATCATGCATAAAAAGGCAAATTTGTTGAACGACATAAGAAATATCCGGCCTCGTAAATGTGAGGTATTGCAAAGCACTAGCCAAACTCCTATACAAAGATGGATCAGCGACAGGGGCACCATCGTCAGCCCCTAATTTCGACTTGGAGTCAACTGGAGTAGCCACGGCTTTGCAGTTGGACATTTGGGCACGTTGAACAATTTTAGCAGCATATTTGCGTTGGCAAAGGAACATACTCTCTGGAGTGCGATTGATAGAGACCCCGAGAAAATAGCTCAATCTTCCCAAATCGGACATTGCAAATTCTGCTTTGAGGGCAGCAATGATAGCAGATTTCAACTGATCTGAAGAAGCGGTGAGGACTATGTCATCTACATAGAGAAGGAGATAGGCTGTGTCCTTCCCATGATGCAAAATGAACAAAGAGTTGTCGCTCTTACTACAAACAAACCCAAGCCGCAAGATGAAATTGGCAAACCTGTGGTACCATGCCCTTGGGGCTTGTTTCAAACCATACAACGATTTCCGGAGGCGACATACATGAGTAGGGGCATCTTTGTTCACAAACCCGGGAGTTTGATGCATATATACTGTTTCCTTGAGATCACCGTTCAAAAATGCATTTTTAACATCCAATTGATGAATAGGCCAATCCTTCCCCATAGCAATACTCAACACTGTACGAATAGTAGCCGGTTTTACCACGGGACTAAACGTCTCATCACAATCCACCCCAATCTTTTGAGATTTCCCGTTCACAACAAGGCGAGCTTTGTGTCTCTCCAAGTCACCATTCTCCCTATATTTGTGTTTATATAACCACATGCATCAGATAATATTCATTCCCTCCGGCCGGGGGACAAGATCCCAAGTGTGTTGGCTAGCAAGAGCATGACATGTGAATGAGAAGGAGTAGGACGAGGGGGAGGAGTGATGGGTGTGGGGTTAGGTAGTGATCCGAATTGGATCGAGGGAGAGATGGGGCTGCTGGAGTGGGGTGGCAGGGGTGTCCGCGGGTGGCCCGTGGGAGGCTGCTGTGAGCCGCGGCCAGCTTGCGGACTGATCGGGGAAGCAGCGTGAGAGTGAGAGTGGTTGGGGGAATTGGTAGGAGAAAGGGTTGGGCTGGTTTGTGGGGTCGTGGGTATGGCCAAGGGAGTTGGGCTAGCAGGTAAATGGGCTTGCACAAGGGGTGTAAGGGAGGCAGAAGAATCAAAGTCCAAAAAATCGTAATCCTCAATTTTGAATTGTTGGAGATTGGAGAATGGGAATATATCTTCAACAAAGGTAACGTGCCTAGAGGTAGTGATTTTATTAGAGGAAAGGTCATAACATAAGTAGCCCCTATGATTAGATGGAAAACCCAAAAAAAACACAAGGTTTGGAGCGAGGTGCAAGCTTATGAGGTGCGGTGGCACTTAAATTGGGGTAGCATAGACAACCAAAAACGCGAAGATGATCATAAGTAGGTACTCTACGAAAAAGAATCTTAGTCGGCGTTTTGTTGTGAATAGTTTTGGAAGGTAAGATGTTGAGAACATAGGCTACCATGTGTATGCTATAAACCCAAAAAGAAGGAGGAAGAGAGGCATGAAAAAGAATAGTTCGAGACATATTGTTTATGGTGCGTATAATTTTTTCGGCTTTCCCATTTTGAGAAGAAGTGTTGGGACAAGAAAAACGAAAGACCATGCCATTATCCGCACAAAACTTGTGAAATGGAGAGTTGTCAAATTCACGTCCATTATCGCTTTGAAAAGTTTTAATATTTTTTTCAAATTGAGTTTTAACAAATGTCCGAAAATTCAGAAAAATGTCATAGACTTGTGATTTGTATTTGAGAGGAAAGACCCACAAAAAATGAGAGAAATCATCAAGGAAAATCAAATAATATTTGTGACCCAATTTGCTACGAATGGGAGAAGTCCATAAATCCGCATGAATGATGTCAAAAGGAGAGAAAGTAACATTATTAGAAGATTTAAAAGGAAGGCGTACATGTTTCCCTAAAGGACATGAGTAGCAAAAATGATATTTATCTCTCTTATTACAACTTATCAAATTGTTTTTCCTAAGAAAATCAAAAACAGGCTCTCCGGGGTGCCCAAGTCTATGATGCCAGGTTGAGGGAGAGATTGCAGCTAGAGAGAGATGACTATTGCTATTTGAAGCGGAAGCGGAAGAGAAAGGATAGAGGTCCCCCGCACTATTGCACCTCGCTAGAATTGTCCCCAAGTGACGGTCCTTCACAGAAAAACCAAAAGAGTCAAACTCAACCGAAACATAATTGTCACAACAAAGTTTTCTAACGGAAATCAAGTTTTTAATTATGTTGGGAACATAAAGGACATTATTGAGGTTGAATTGGTTGTTTGGTGAGGGGGTGGTAAGTGTACCACAGCCATGAATAGGAATGCATTTGTCATTGCCAACCAAAATATATTGAGGATTGCTCAAGCTAAATAATTTAGAAAAATTACCCGAGTCCCGTGTGAGATGGGATGTAGCACCGGTGTCCATGTACCACCCATTGTCGGGCTGTTGGAAGCCCATAGAACTGTAAGCCTGCCCAAATTTAGTGGGTGTCATTAGTGGTCCATATCCGGTGTTGGCAGAAGAGGTGAAGTATGCCTGGTTTGCTGGTGGTCGTGGACCCGGACCCAAAAGGCCCCCTTGTTGCTGTTGAGGCCCACGGTACTGCTGAGGTGTGGCAGGCCTAGTGGGGTACGGACAGGGTGGTGAGGCCCACTGTCCGTGAGGTTGCTGCTAGAATGGCGGGCTGCCCCACTGAGGGGCCTGCTGATGATATTGGGCCCCATATCTAGGCCCAGAAGAACCTTGATAATTCTGATTTTTGCCTCGACCACGCCCTTTGCTATTCTTTCCTCGTCCGCGGCCTCGCCCACCTTGACCACCACCACGTGGCTGTTCTGCCTGCTGTTGCTGCGGCTGTCGATTGGTCGGCGGTGGTGCGGTCTGGCCTTGAGCAACGAGCACCTGCTGCTCGTGCTGCTCTTGCTTGTTCTTGCGCGTCTCTTCCCAAAAGGAACATTGACCTTGCCTTGTTGAAACTAGGGGTTGGATCAGTTTGAGAAACGATTCCGGCCAAAGTGTCGTATTCCCCCTTTGTGAGACCGGCGATCAGTTGCATCACCATCTTACGATCGGTGACCGGGCTATCAACATTAGCGAGTTGGTCAGCAAGAAGTTTAATTTGTTTGCAGTAATCGGACATATTGGAAAAATTCTCGAGTCGAGTATTAGCAAACTGCTCCTCCAAATACACATCGCGAGTATGCTTATTGTCATGAAAAATTTCAGCAAGCCGGGTCCATAATTCGAGAGCAGAGGCACCCGGTTTCATGATCGTGTGAACAAGGTCCCTGGAAATCGTCCCATATATCCATTGCTTCACTATAGCGTCCAATCGCTTCCATACATCATCATTAATCCCTGCTGGACGAGGGACTTGATCATCAATATGATCGAGAACGTTGAAGGAAACCGCTTGAATTTGGAAGAGCTCAACCCAAGTCGCATAATGGCCTTCTTCTTGATCAAGAGTGACACTCATGAGAGTTTTGATGTTGGCAGTAAAAGCTGGATGGAGGAGCGTGTGGGAGGGAGGAGGGGGAGGAGGTACATCATCATCACCTGCCATTGAGGGAGAGGTTGGCTAAGAATGGCTAAGCACAGGATCTAAGATCGGCTAGGGTGTCGAGGAAGGAAAGAAAAGAACCTAGTAGGCTGTGATACCATGTGAGATTGTGTAATTCTCCTTGAGCTAGCGATGAACCATTAACCAAAATATATAGGTGATTACAACCTAGGGTTACAATAATTACACAAAATAAATATGAGAACCTTTACACATTCTCTAGGAAGAGAACCTTTACATATTCTCTAACACAATTGATAAATCATAGTTTGAAGAATTAAACATAAAATTAGTAGATCAACCTGAGTAACATTCTTGTTATATTCTGGATTATTCTCCACATGAATCTTTTCTTATACGTCGCACCTTATTGGGCTGAAGTCTCAAGGCTTTAGAATAATCTCCACATTTGGCGAGGCTCGGTCATATTGCATCAACTCCTTCGCTACTTCTAACTTATTTTCAGCAGTAAAAGTCTCACTGAGCACAATTGTCATGACCTCAAGAGCTGGACAGGATGCTAGTAGAATTTTTATCAACTCTAACTCCACACTTGCCTTAAAGGCAAATTCAACATATTTAAGACAGGGAAGTGTGAAGTTTCCCTTATTCTGAACACTCTTCCCTGAACATTTCTCAAACGATGAAGCCTAATTTTACACGAGAGTAAATGTTAGATTACTCATCATTCAAGTAAGATTTGAGATAGTATTCAAGCAAGCTGAAAGATAATAGGTGAACATGATATATGAGCTATGGAAAACACTTACATTGATGCATAGTCGTTGTAAGTGAGGAGAGCTTCGAAATAAGCAGAGGATAAAAGGGACTGCATAATTACAATTTAATGGTACTTCCAAAAGTTTAAGAGTTTGTAAAGATTCCAAATCTTCTCCAAGCTTTTCAAGAGGTTCAAGATCACAATAAAGTTTACAATTCTCCCATGCTTCTCTTCAATCCAGCATCCTGCAAAAGTACCGCATCCACTCCTATAGTTTTTATATTTCCAGTGGCTTTCAGGGATAGACTAGACATAATGTCTTTCACAACCAAATCTTGAAGTTCAGGAGCACAAATTGTAAAATTAATCATCTTTCCGAGGATACATAATGTGAGTTTCTGTAATCGTGAGCAAAGGGAAATAAGCTTTTCCAACATCTGTGCCTCTAATGCTCCGACTGGTACACTGGATATATGCAGGTCCATGCTAATAAGGCAAGGAAATCCTTTGAATGTTGGGGGGAGATTCAGATCATGGCAATTGAATAGTGTCAACTGCGTCAACCCCACAAAAGAATACAAACAACCAGGCAGCTTTTGTGACAGAGACTTAATATAGTTTTTGAGAACAAATTCTTTGATGCTACTAGGAGAATCCAATAGTAATAGCCAATGATTGATGTCGATTTCTGAAAACATCCAAGAGGGGATAGTAAGATCAAGTTTATGAATAGGGCCAATGTGACGAAGTAGAATATTTTCAATGATTTCTGAATATACACTCTGTTAAATGTAATGGCAAGTTGCTGATAATATCATTGCTCTCTTTGCACAGCTGCTTGCTCATTCCTGCAACAAAAATAACAGATTTAGAGCAAATTCTTGAACTAAGCTTAAACTGCTTCTCCTTAGCTTGCTTGTGGTACCAATACCTGCTTTAAACTTCACATAAAGCAGGCCAATTATTAAGATGGCACTAAGCTAAGAGATACATAGATTTTGCGCCCAAGTCGCGATTATCGAGTTCTTTACCGCTTAAAGATCTCAAGTACATCTCACTTATTGGTACTTTTTTTTCCCACTAAAAAGTGTCAGTCTTCTGTTTAAAAATCATATTTCTGAAATATATGGAAGAACATCATCCTCAAAATTCAGAGTATATGATACCAAAAATAATCTTAAATTTTTCATTAAAGCCTTTCAGCTATTTACTAAATTTCATAAGTTATTCAGACTTTCGCTTAGAGTGATCCGAATAACTTAAAATAGGCTCTACAAAATCCAAATTAATAGGCAATTTGCCAACAATCGTCGAATTATAGACCATTCAATGGATTTTAGTTTCTAAACAAGATTACAAGAACCAAGCTCAATTATAAAGTGAGAAAATTGTGAAAAAGGATTTTTAAGAGGTCGACTTTTTGAAAAAGGATTTTTTAAGTAAAAACTTGTGAAAAATGACCTTTTAAGTTGCATTTTGTTTATGTGGTGTACTTGGGTGAGCTTGCGACCTTACGTGTGGTCAATGCCGAACCTCAGACGTTGACTATCACGTGTTAGTCACGTGACTTTTTTTTTTAAAAAAAAAAACCCAAAATTTCCCTCCTTTTCCGACCTAACCAATGAAAGAGTTAGGTCGGGAAAGGAGGGAAATTTGGGGATTTTTTTTTTTAAAAAAAAAAAAAAAATCACGTGACTAACAAGTGATAGTCAACGCTGGAGCTCTAGCATTGACCACCACGGAAGGTCACCCAAATACCCCATACAAACAAAATGCAACTTAAAAGGTCCTTTTTCACAAGTTTTCACTTATAAGGTCTTTTTTCAAAAAGTCGACCACTTAAAGGGTCCTTTGTCACAATTTTATTTTATAAAGTTCTTATCAATACAAAAAAAAAAAATTACTTAAATTACAAACTATTTGAAATCAAATTCTCATCTAGTTTATTAGAAATCAAAGAGATTAGTAATTTATACGATAAAACCACCCTAAAATCTTAAATAAATAAACCCTTTTTACCAAAATATATTCAATCTGCAAATAAAAACTACTCGCAATTTTAATCTCAAAATACAAATCGCACACAATCAAAGCTAGGGTTTAATTATCAAAATTAATAATGTTATGATATTTAAATAAAGAAAGCCCCAAAATTTGAATGCAAGAAGAAAGCTGAGAACTTGATGAGTTGAGAAAAAAAAAATAGAGTTGAAAAAATGAGTAACCTGATTGTCATGTAGAGTCCAATGCCATTAATCTCAAATATAAAAATTCTTCTAATTTTTGTATTATGTGACGTCTGAAACAATTTGATGAGAATTACCAAGAAAAAATATTGTTGTATTTCCTCTAGTTTACCGTAATCCCGTTAACGTACTTGTACTAGGCCTGTTCACGGGGGCTTGCCCCTCTATTTCCCCCAAAAAATAAAATTAGGCCGGTTAACTTCTTATTCTTATTTTTATTTTTTTATTTTTTTTAAAAACTAAATTTTCGTATTGAAATTAGTTGTGCTGAACTAAAATTATTTTGCTTTACTTATAGGAAAAATGGAAACTAAAAATCCAACCTTTGCGCGATTTGACAATAAAAATCCAACCTTTAATTAATCTCATAAAAACCCAACCTTTATACCCCACTGTCATCTAAAGATCCATTACCTGTTGATGACCGGTTTTTGTATGTTACATGCCACGTGTCAGCTATTAATAGGCTAATTTTTTTTAAAAATTTTTAAAGACAAAAAAAAAACCCAAAAAACCAATAACCGACCAGAACCACCATCATCAAACACCAATCACAAGCCCACAACTCCATTTCCTTCCCTTCACACCAACACCACCATCTCACCAATTTCAACCCAGACCACCCAATTCATCAATGAAGCCGCCAACCTCAAGCCACAACCACCACTAATTATTAGCTCCGCAACCCGCAATAACAACACCCACTACTAAAAATAGGCTAATTAGCGATGGACCGGTTCCGACGGAGCTATTTTTCCGTCGCAAATTTCAAAAATTATGACGGAATATATTTCGACGCAATTTATCGACGGACGATTTTCCGTTGTAATATTTCCGATGGAAATATTTTCCGTCGTGATTTCCTTTTTCCAACGGAATATTTTGCCGAAAATAGTTTGCGACGAAAAATTCCGTCGGAAGATGGAATTACGACGGAAATTATTTCCGTCGAAAAATAATAGGTTTTTTTAAAAAATTACCCAAGTTCATTTTTAACCTAAAAACTAAAGGGGGAATTGAATTTGTCGTTGCACAGAAGAAAGAGAAAGAGAGAGAAAGAGAGAGGAAAAGAGAAAAAGGGGACCACACCGCCGCCGTCCGTCACGCAACCTCCGCCATCCGTCACGCATCCGCCGCCGACGATGACCCAAACGGAGCCGACAATGTAAGAGAGAAAGAGGACGAGAAGGAGAAAGAAAAAGAGGACGAGAAGGAGAAAGAAAAAGAGGACGAGAAGGAGAAAGAGAAAGACAAGGGCGGTTGAAGGGGCGGCTTGTTTTCCGTCGAGCCTCCGGCGCCGCGTCTAGGTCAGTTTACAACTTTTTTTTTTGGTTTTTGTTTTTTTTAATTACATTCAAATCTGACTTTCTTTGCCCTGACCACCACAACCGCAGCCTCCGGCCTCCTCCCTTCCCTCGCCGTGGCTGGTTGTTGTTGCCAGCGCCGCGTCAAAGTCAGTTTCTTGATTTCTATCCATAGGCACCTAAAATTATTTGATATTAGAATGTTAGAAGAAAGAACTAGTCCATTTGATGGAAAACACCTAAAATTTCAGCCATATAGGCCAAATTAGCTTGAATAATCAAGAATAAGAAACCTTACCTTATATTGTTGGTTGTTTTTTTAACAATTTTTTTTATTATCATCAATATTTTGTAGGAGACCTACCAGAAGAAGCTCGAAGAAACAAGGAGTCAGGGGATTCAGAAGTGTCCCAATGAGTTGTATTGGGAGATGGTGGGTGGGCGCAATAAGAAGGGTCGTGTGAAGGGACTTGGCCAAAGTGCAGAGCTCTACTATGGCAACCGGATGGGTCGAGTTTCCCGTTCTTCACAGCAATACACGCCGTCTATCATTTCTCAGATGCAAGATCAGATGGAACATAGGGTGCAAGCTCTCCAATCTCAAATGGAAGTCGAGATGCAAAGCCGAATTGACTCCCAAATGACTGAAATAAAGAGGAGATACAAGGAGAGTATGGATGAGATGATGAGTCGTTTTACCAACATCGACTCATGTTCCACCATTCATCCTCAGCATCGAGACCTAAGGGACGACCCGGGTAGTGGTGGAGCAGGCCAGGGTACCCAGGCGATTGCGTAGCTTAGCTTTAGTCTAGCAAAGATCCACTCTAACATAGCTTTTATTTGGTATGGATACCAAATTATGGACTATCTTTTGTACTAGTACATAATTATTATATATATATATATATATATATATATATATATAAATAAATATAATTTCGTAGGTTGGTAATTAATTTTTGTTAAACAACAACTTCAGGTTTTGAAATGCATTTTTTTTTGTCAATTTATTATAAACAAAATTCAGGTTTGGAAATGTATTTTTTATCAAAAAATTTTGGCGGGTTGGAAGGTCGTTCCGACGGAATTTTTCCTCGCAAATATAAAATTCCGACGGAATTTTTCCTCGCAAATATAAAATTCCGACGGAATTTTTCCTCGCAAACAAAAAATTCCGTCGGAATTTTTCCTCGCAAAAATGGTTTTCCGACGAAATTGTTCCTCGCAAGCAAAATATTCCGACGGAATTTTCCGTCGGAAAATATATTCTGCGACGGAAAAAACCGTCGGAATAATAAGGTTGCGACGGATGTTTTTCCGTCGGAAAATTGGGACGGACCTTAAGCTAAAGTCAATTTAAATTCCGACAAAGTTATTTACGTCGTAATTTCCGTCGGAAATGAGGTTTACGACGGAACTTCCGTCGGAAAATGGCCAATTTCCTACAAAGTGTTTTTCGACGGACGTTTCGGATGAAATTCCGTCGGAAACCTCATTTCCGACGGATATTGAATAAGTTCCGACGAGTTTTTTCCATCGCAATTTTGCTGTTTTCTTGTAGTGACCGCATCTCACACCCCACGCACACCAGCCCACGGCTCCATCACGCATTCAAACCACTGCCACCAACACTAGTCACATTCAACACCACCCTTACCATTCACTCAAAATGGTCGGTTTTCATGGGAGAGGGGGTTGGGGTGGTCGGTTTTCATGGGGGAGGGGTTAGGGTGACTCGAATTTTTGGGGAGGAGGGGTTAGGGTGGCTCGAATTTTGGGTGGTCGTGGTTGGGTGGTCGTGGTTAGGTGGTTGTGGTCGGTGACCGGAAAAGATGGAGGAGAAGGAAAGAGAAATGAAGGTTGAAGGAGGAAGGAGGAAGGAGAAAGAAAAAAAGGAAAAAAAATAACATGTTAACAGGTTCAAGGTCAAATGGATCTGTAAAAGAAGGTGGGGTATAAAGGTTGGATTTTTATGAGATTAATGAAAGGTTGGATTTTTATTGTCAGACCGCCTAAAGGTTGGATTTTTCTTTTCCATTTTTCCTCACTTAAATTGTTTTTACTAAATTGAAATGATGTTACTAAACTGAAATTGTGGTGTTTTGAATCAACAACATTTTGGTGTAGCAGGCCACACCGTGTGGCAGGGGTTACCCGGGTTATTTTGTTAGGGGTTATTCGAGTTATTCAGTCAGGGGTTACTCGAGTAACTCGGTCAGTAGTTACTTGAGGGGTTCGGACAAGGGTTACTAGAGGGCTTCACTCGGTCAAGAATTACTCGGTCAAGGGTTACTCGAGTTACTCAGTCAAGAGTTAATCGAGTTAATTACTCGATTAGGGGTTACTCAGTCATGGGTTACTCGATCAGGTATCACTCGACTTTACTCGATTAGGGGTTATTTAAGGAATTCGGTCAAGTGTTACTCAAGTAATTCGATCAGGGATTACTTAATGAGTTCGGTCAGGGGTTACCCAATAGGGTTGACATTTCTATTATAAA